TAAAATAACTTGCCGTGTAACTTGTAGATACAGTGTTTTATTAGGTGAAAATTTGTTGTTCAGTAGGGTTCACCTGGATGCTTTCTCAGAATTCCTTTGAGGAAGGTAGAATGAACAAGTACTTCATAACTTATAAACGTGGAAACTTCCTAGTTCTGTCTCAGCATCTCCAATGAGTTATTAAGAAACAGCAGTAAAAAAAGCAGGAATCTGCCTTTCAGCTGAAGTGCTAGAGTTGGTGTTGTCAGCACTTCCTAGACCAATATATTTCTCTCCCTAGAAAGTGCATGTAAGCTTGGATATAAAATAGAGATGCTTCCTTACAGGACACACTTTCAGGGCGTACTGCTTTTGGGTAGATTTTTAAAGCAGATGGGGCATGAGCCAAGTGCAGATATTTCATAACTCATCTCAGCAGCCTGTGCGTTTAGACTTTTGTTTCTTCCACTTGTGACTAAGTGTCTCAGACGCCCTGAGGAAAAAAGGTTCTCCTTGTGTAGCAGGAAAAAGCAGTCTGGAACAGGGTTTTCAGACTTTTATTACATCTGCAGAATAAAGATGAGAAATCAGAGTTCCAAGAAAATGCCTTTCCAGTCACAGCAGAGTAGACTGTGTAATGCATTATGTGCTGAAAAAGAAGAAATGTCGGGAAAAGCTAATAAGGTTAAGTGTATCTCTCTTTCGGTTTTTCAGTAGAGAAATTTACGCTGATCGGCTGTAGTGTGAGCAGAACAGTGGGAAGCATTAACTTAGATTATGTTCCTCCTTTGTTGTATATACAACGTTTTTGTTCTGATTTTCCTACAAACCATCGCAGGCTATGTGTCTTCACTGTTGTGATTTGCATGGATGAAGAAAATCTAACTCTGAATTTTGCATTTTTGTTGAAAGTATGAAAAAAATCATTTTGCTACTGTGTTTTGGGAAATTGGCTATAGCATTAGAATAGTGCATGGAATTACATGTTAGTTTGCAAGTGCATGCGTGGGAGGAATGGGTTAGCTATGCTTTAGAAAAATGACTTCATTTGAAAGTATTTTGTATTTCCTTTTAATATTAAAACTACCTTATTGCTACTTGCTTTTGACTGAGGACATTAGCTATAGATAGGAAGATTTTTACCAGTTGATCGTAATATGCCTTTAACAGTCTAGTTCGCAGTCACTGTACTATTTTAACCCTTTTGTGTATATGCACTGGCCATACATTTTTGTTATACAAAGAAAAATGTATCTTCTGAGGTAGTATATGGCTTTAGGCCAAAAAGGGATATCTACTGCTTTTATTTAATGGGGGAAGACAAGTGAGCGAGAAAAGAGAAGCTACAGGTTTCTGCAGCTTTTTTATGTAGTGTTAAGGAGAAATCTCATCACTTTTTTTCTCTACGTAAGAAATTAATTAAATGCTGTCTGATGTTTGTGAGGAAAAATATTTTGTGATTCGAAACTGAAGGCTTACTGGAAATAACATAAGGAGAGATAAGAAAAGAAGGTTTAAGTGACCTAAACCCTCACTTTTTTTTTTTTTTAAACATTCTGAAATTGTAATTTTGGAGTGTTGGCCACTTTGTGTTAACATTATCGAGTTTTATAGGTGACTTCTGGTTTCAGTGTATTTTTGCATAATAGCTGGTTTTAGGAAGATGTGAAAATTGGAATCTTAGTAGGATGCGTCCCACCTTGCTTTTTGGCTAGATAGATTTGAAATCTTAAATTTTTCTTATTTCTGAATTTCTTTTGTCTTGCTACTATTTAGTGAGAGTTAAATGGATGATTGCAAAACAAATTCAATGCAGTCTCTGTGTAAAAATGATGCATGGATTTTGGTTTTGTGTATTTATATACATATATAAAAATATATGTATAGATTGTGTGTGTGTATATATTAAAAAACCCCTCAGTTTATATAGATGGATATATATATTTTTTTCTTCTTTTTCTTAAGAGGAGCACCAGAAATGCTGCTGTTTATTTGGTGCGTTTACCTTGTGCCGTTTGTCTCTTCACTTGCCCATTTTTCCAGTCAACTTTTCTTTGAGGCCTTTTAAAGCCGTACTATATAAAAGTTAATTTCTTTCATCTTACTTGCAGAGTACTTACAATGATCTTTTTCTTAAGTCAGTGATCCCACTCAAAGTCTTTCTTAGCCAAAGACCCTAGCATATCTTTGAAGCTTGCTGATACTGTTCCTTTATGTAGGTGCTGTGTTGAAGAAACTCCTTCCTTGAGGTACTGTCAGCTGGGTGAGCCCCTGTGATGGGGCGATTATTTCCAGAGAGTAATATATGCTGCTTCAGTCACCTGGGGAACGCTGCTTCATTTCTGACGTTCTTTTCCTCTTTATTCATCTGTAGCTGCGTTTTCCTGTTCACGTCTCGCGCTCGCAAATACGAGCGCTCCTTCTGTGCCTTCTTTTCGGTCCGTCTTGGAATGGAAGCCGAAGCGAGCTTCTTCTGTGGTTTCCTAACTTCTGCAGCTGGACGGCCGGAGAGTCCCGAGTGACCTTTGAACCTCTTGGCCGATTTCAAGCAAAATTGAGAGCGCGCTGTCTCACGTTATGTCAAGTTACTGTGTATTTTATGAAACTAGGTGGCATAGGCTGAGGCAAGTGACTGCTAAATCTCCTAAAGAGGAAACACTGAAGTATGAGCTCCGCTATTATTAGACATCAGAGAGCTGGGGGCCGGGAGGGAGGTGTTAAAAGTGCTCTAATGCATGAAAAGCTAATGTTAGCACTTACCTTTTACTTGATACCAAAAAATCCTATTAGAAGGCAAAAATCCTGAAAAATCAGGCTTTGCGGCTTCCACTTCAGTTTGCTTATTGCTTCTCTTTGAGGTGGTAAGAGTGAGAAAACTAATGCTTTCCTCGCCTGCTTTTTCGCGATATCAAAGCAATAGCGAAGAGAAAAATATTTGATGGCAATTTTTCTCGCTGGTAGGGATGTGCTGTGTTCAGGAACAAGGGCCACACGGTATGAAGCCCCAGGGAGGTTTGCCTTTTCTGCCTGTCCTCAGTGACATTGAGGGGAGCGTGTACCATTATGGATACTGGCGAGAAAGCGATTGGGTTGCTGGTTTTGTTCTCTTGCTGCTCCTCCTCCTTTCGGGAATTTGAATTTTCTTGTAGAGCCTTAATTTTCTTGAAAGCGTGCGTTCCTGGCATGGACTCTGTCGTACACCAAAACTTGACAGCAGGCTTCAAATGTACGGGAGCAGTGCTGATTCTGTGCGGTGTGGCTACAGACACCCGTTACTTTTAATTTTGCGTAGGCAAAAGGGTGGCTCCGTTTCTGTTTTCCATGATGTGCCCCGATGTGTTAAGGAGTGGAGATGATTATCTGTTTACGGAGTCTGGTCAGGTACAAGCCGTTTCAAATGGCAGCAGTCAGGATGTGCTGCTTGGGGAACGTGAGCGACATGGTAACTGCTCGCTGAAGTTGTCAAACCTGGAGTGGCAACCTGGAGCCATTCCTGTGTCCATACACTCTCTGTTTTAAAGTTCCGTAATTTTGAAAGTTGAAAGTTTCTTAAATGTGTTAATGGTCATATTATTTAACCTATTTGTAGAGGTGACCAGTATCATTACGTTACTCTCTTTAATTGCTCTTAGTTAGAGGAAGTTTAGAGTTAGAAATGATTAAATGCACAAGTAAATACCTGGGTGAGTGTTGTGGTGTAACTTAAGCTTAAACAGAAATGATTGAGCCAGTTCTGATAGCTGATTACTGCCAGAAGGCACAGATCTTGCTGTCCTTCCTTGCCTCTGCTCACACATGGGATGTCCTGCCCTTAAGCAGTTTCTGAGTAGTTGTCTTTTATTAAATACTTGTCTTCCTTAACTTTATCAGGGTAGGATCCCTATATATATATATATATATATATT